ATCGTAGAGAAAGAAGAAATCCCCACTCATTCATTTTCACCTGAAGCAGCATTTTCAAAAGTAGATAGAAAGATAAAGCATTGTGAAAAAATATCACAGCCAATGAACATACTGGCTCTAACAAAAAGACTCGTGGACAAAGTGTGAGTCAAAGAAAACAAAAGAAAACAAAAGAAAAACAAAACAAAAAAAGGCTGATTTTAATGGTCTGTTACACTGTATTTGACAATGTTTTATAATACTTTTGTTTTGCCTTTAAGTGTTTTGCATTTCATTTTTACTGGGTAGTTAGCAGTGACAGATGAATTCTAGTGAAAGCAAAATTAAAGACCTGTGTGTCATAGCAGTGACTTGCAACGTGGAGCTGTCTAACAAGGGAGAGTAAATTCAATCAGTTCTGAGTGGCAGAGTGGTGGTTGCTTTTTCTGCAGTTTTCAGCAAAACCAGCTCATGGCATGATTCTGCTGGTGCTAGTAGTGATGCTACAGAGGGGAAATTGGACAGCAGCAGACCTTACTTAGTGACCAGAACACCATCTTTTTGGTGACCTACATCCCTGTATTGCATAAAGGAGAACTGCCTAAGAGCAGGATTGGTAGCACCTGGCCTGCCTCCTCCATCAGGAAATAGGAAATTGTAAAGCAAAGAGTGTGTCTAAAACTGGTTTGCACAAGGTCAGATCTAGACATCTGAAGCTAGGTAAGATAGGTTCCCTCCTGGCCTACAGGATCCAATTTATTGTCCTTTAGTATGAGCTTAAAGCGACGACATCAGTTATCTTTTCAAGCTAGTATGTTCAGATGATGTACTTCTGTCGTGCTTGATTTGTCTGCTTCAGGCATGTTGAGTACCACAAGGAGTTATTCATTTACAGGGAGGTTGGAATGAAAAATGGGCTAGGGGTCTGTTCATACCACACCTATGAATCTTCGCTTCCATTGACCTCTCCAGGAGCAGTTTTATGACCACATCTTTACCTGCTGACATGCAGGAAAGAAACAAGTCTTCCAAGTGCATTGTGTTCTCAAAGCAGTGACATATTTTCCTTGCTCAGATAATGAACAAAAATGAAGTGACCTACCTCACACGGCGACTTCCTATGATTTGCTGTGGGATTTAATTGAAAAATGTAAGGGAAGTCAGCAATGGCTTCTCAGGCACAACTGTATTAGAACAAAACACCTACAAGGAGAAGACACTCCAGCTGTATGCGGATTCTTTCGGCTGAGTTGCTTACACCTATGTTGTCTTAAATACCCCTTATTCAGCTTGCTAGATAAGGTTCATAGCTCTTCTGCTGTCCATTAAATACAAGGATCAAGGGACTATGGGTAGAGAAGAGCATTTTTTCTTTAAGGTTTTGAAACTCCCAACTCAGACATTCAGAAAACTTTCAATTTTCAGTCTTAATGCTCTCACAGGTTTCTCTTCCATATGGTTCTTTTCAATATAATTGAGTCTAAATGCCTGTAACCTGATCTCGTTCTCATTACAATTTTTGCTACATAAACTGACCTCACAGATGATTTATGGCTGTTAGACTTTATAGTACCCGATTCAAAACTTCCAAGATATTTGGCACAGTATATAAATTGTGTAATTTATTTTGCATTAAATACTTGGCTATAGCAAAATATATAATGTTCAGACCTGGTATGACATTACTTCTTTTAATTCTACATATTGCAGGGCTAACAATTGTACAACCCACATGTCCCACCATCCCAAACCAGTCTCTTTTAAATGCTCAAGGTCAAATTCTCAGTCCGAAGTAAGAGCTATATAAAAATCAACCCACTAGAAGAAATAGCCCAGAAGTCAAAGGGTTGTAATTGAGAGAAGTCTCACAGGGTATCTCTGCATTTGTATGTTCTGCATTGTCCTCCAGTGAACCTTACAATGCTATGAAGGACGTAAGTTCACAGATAATGGATGCTTGGTCAAATGTCCTTCCAGAACCATGAAGCAGAGACAGGACCAGGAAAGGTCACATCGCTTCTCCCTGTTAATCACAGCAGAAAATTTGTTCTTTAATTTTGTATTTAATGTGTAGCGTGGCATGAGGTGGGATCCAAATAAGTGTGCAGACACTTCTTGCTGCACAACTAAAGTATTGTTAGTTTTATTGTCCTTTTATGGCATCATAAAAGTTCACAGTGCCCTTCGATGGGTAATGGGAAGAATGAGTGGTGGGAAAATAGCACTTTATGGATTTTTAGGCAAGAAAAATTTATGAAGTCTCTTGTCGATGACGCTGAAAACAGCTATGAGTTAATATGTGTTTCATTGTGCTTTTTGCAGGTGCAAACATGGCCCAAGGCATAGATGCTGTAAACACTATGGAGATAATTGCATCTCATATTGTATTAAAGTAAGTGCAGAAAAAGTGAGATTGACAAACTCTGGCAAAGACAAGGTAAAAGCCTTTAGTCAGAAAAAACATATACTTAGGAAGTGAGAAAGGAGCCTGTTACTCGTTCTTCTTCTATTGAAAATGTGACAAGCCTGAAAACAGATTTTCTCAATTTAGGAGAGGGTGGTGGTGGGGTTAAACTTCTCTGGGCTTTCAAATTAGCTGGAGTGAATGAATAACATAAAACGTGTGGGAAAAAATGGACTAGCGAGCAAGGAACTTGTTTAACTATGTGATGCACTTCATGGCTGAGCCCACTTGTGACTCCACCCTAAATAAAGCACCTGGAATGTGCTGCTTCGGCAGGCGGCGCAGCCTGGCCGCACGTGCAGCTGCGCGGGTCTGGCATGCTGCTGCTGGGCGCTGGGATCGCTCCTCCCTTCGTTTATTTTAAGGGCTCAGGGTAATGAGAGATTGGTCACAGTTGCTGCGCCCAGGAGGAGTTGTTTATGTCCGGTGGCATCATTCATCCTCCATTATTAGTGTGATCAGCGCATTTTTTTTTTCAGAGGAGTACTGGGCAGAGATTTCTTTTGGCTGGCAGTTGGGTTGGCACAGGTGGTACCACCTGCTGTGCCTCTTTTAGGAGTTGGCAAGATGCCAGAAGATCTCAATTACTTAATAATTTACCCATTTTTATTTACAGAGCAGCAAAAATGGATTTGAGTATCTTCAGATGCTTTTGATAGATGCTATTTTCAAAAATAACTTTAAAATTATATGTACAGTTAATGTTATCTCAGAAGAGCTATGCTTAAGTTTGGCATCAGAAGAGATCTAGCACAACATTTATTCATGTATGATTATTAACAACATCATTTTGTGTTGTATTAACACTCTTCTTACACTGCAGTATATTAGCGTACCACAGCGTAACATGGATATAAGTTGCGCTGGAGCTGATAGGATTTGAGATGGAGCTTAAGTGTTCGGCTGAATTATGATGACAATATGCAGTAGAGCATTCATGAATAGTTCCGGATAGTTATGTCACTTTTCTGTTGTAGGTATGACATATATTTAACAGAACCCAGATTAAAATGACAATTTTACAACCTCTCACTGCTATCTCAGTCCACTTAATCATGGGCTTTCATTCATGGGCTCTTTCCTTCAAGGCATAACACCAGACCTTCCCTTTTCTCTGTGCTTGTTCAGTGGCCCGTTTTGTCTCCCATCTCCTGAGTGCTCATCTTTGGTCAGCATCGCCTGGGGAGCAAGCATTCCCCGTGCCTTCAATTTATAGAGTACTCTGTGTTTCCTCCATAGACATCAGTGTCTGGCCTTCAGTATCAATGTCCATGACTGCAGTGAATATCCCAAACAAAGATTAAAATCAAGCAGAAGTGATTTTATGGGTTGATCTGCTGCATTTCCAGATCTCTGCTGATGGTATTGTCTCCTAGTGTGCATCTTTTTACGTGGGTGCCTTGCTATAACTTTGGTCTGCTGCACTTTTGCATAAACTGCTATCTTTCATTACTTAGGCATATTTTACAGTAATTAGCTCTTAACTACTGTTAGTCTAGACTTCCTCTCAGTTTATTTATTAATCTCAGAAAAAATCCTTATGCTGTGCTGCATGCTCAGCAGGCAGATCGGTAAGTACCCTCGTAACACCATATTATATTACAAGCGCAGTTAGGACAAACAAGTCAGGATTTCTGTTAGAGTACTCATAACAGAACTGATGCCTCTTCTCCAAGGAAAACTGTCATCATCTGCTGGAAGAATGGCTCTGTATATGACTTTGTGGGTAAAGAGAGAGATGATCTGACCATTATGGAGTGTAATGAGCTTGAAATGCCTCGAAATCCCACCTAAACAGAAACATGTGGCTGTCCAGGTCGCTGGCTGTAAGGAGTGCCTCAGCCTGTCAGCTGTACCGGAGAATGGTAAGGACAGTGGCTGTCTCAGGTGTGAGCAGGTGGATGATCTGCTCTGCCTGGTAGCAGAGCTGAAAGAGGAGGTAGAAAGATTAAGGAGCATTAGAGAATGCGAGATGGAGATAGACTGGTGGAGTCGCACCCTACCATCCCTCAGGCCAAAGCAACAGACCACAGGAAGCAGAGGATCCCCTGTCCTCTTGCCAGCAGGCAGAGGCTGGGGACCCAAGTGACGGTGAAGAATGGAAAAAGGTCTCTGCTCGGGGCAGGAGGAGAATCCCCTCCCGGGATCCCTCGCCTTCCCAGCTGCCCTTGCATAACAGATATGCGGCCCTGGAAGTCGAGGGCCAGGCAACTGAGGATGGGGATGAAGGCCCACCCAGGGGGTTGGCTAGGGAGAGAAGGCCACCCCTACCTACCAAGACTGACTGCACAAAGAAAAAATGAAGGGTAATTGTTGTGGGTGATTCCCTTCTGAAGGGAACG